GGTCAAAAGATTTCGCCAAACAAAAAAGGGGTCCCCCCCCCCCCCCCCCCCCCCCTCTCCCTCGCTCTGTCTCTTTCTTTCTGTCTATTCTGGCAATCTATTTATCTCCAGCTGTAGGCACAGAGTTGGATAGTGGTTGTGTTGCATACATAAGGTGGCGTGTTTGAGCTCGCGAGGTCGGTCACGCGGGTGAAGTGATGGTGTCATGACGTAGGTGTGGTTGGTTCGACGTCACCGGCCGAGGCTACGACTATGCTGTGCCATCTTCTGCGTGGCGCTCTCACTCTGTTGGCGCACACGCATAAATTTCGCCACTTGCCGTATACGAAGTTAATTTTCCTCAACCCGCTCCGCGCTTCCAGCGCTCCCCTTTGCAACAGCCAATACTGAACGACGGTCGAAAGTATTTCACACGTCGGATAGATCATGATCTAGATTACCTGTGGTCTATAGATCAAGCGTTGGAAGTATCACAGATGATCTGTGGAGTATAGATGAAGAGCACGCAGGTATCATCGATGATCTATGGGTTATATATCAAGAGCGGCAGATATGTTCGGATCAATCTGTGGCTATAGATCGAGAGTTGGAAATATCACAGATGATCCATGGATTATAGATCATGTACAGCAGACAATGTACAGATCTATGTGTCTATAGATCAAGAATGGGAGATATCACAGATGATCTATGGATTATAGATCAAGAGCGGCAGATATGTTCGGATCAATCTGTGTCTATAGATCAAGAGTCGGAAATATCACAGATGATCCATGGGTTATAGATCAAGAGTCGAAATATCACGGATGATCTGTGGATCATAGATCAAGAGAGACAAACACGTTCGGATCTACGCATATTTCCGAATCTATGGATCAACACTTGAACTGTCACAGATGATCTTTGGTCCTGTGGCCTACTGTACAGATGAAGAGCCAATATACGTGTTGTTGTTGTTGTTGTTGCTGTTGCTGTTGCTGTCTTCACATGTAGAACTGTTCCGTTCTCTCTACCCAGTAACTTCCTCTGTCCGCACTATGTAGTCAAACCCTCACGACAACACTTGACGCGGTCGATTCCGTGGTCATGGGCTGACTTACCCAACAAAAGGTACCATGCACGAAAACAACATGGATCCGAAGGGTCCGAAAGTCAATAGAAGTTCACGACAGATAGTCTTATACTATCAAAAAAGGCGAGTCGTCCGAGGGCCAGGGCTCCCATCACCGGTCGGAGGGCTTGGGCTCCCATCACCGTGCACAGGGATAACCTCTTGGTCTGCAGCCGAGGCGGCTGCCGTCACTCATGTCTGCCATCCTAGGCGCGCGTGGCCTCTCGCGTGTGTGGGAGCTGTGTGGTGTGTGGAAGGTGTGGGAGAGCTCTGTCGAGAAGCTGACATGGCACGTGCCACACGGCACGAAAGACCACCCGCATGATGTGTGGTGTACAGATGTAGAGCGGCAGGGATCACCGATGATCTGTGGTCTACAGATAAAGAGCGGCAAAGATCACCGATGATCTGTGGTGTACAGATAAAGAGTCGGGATTATCACCGATGATCTATGGATTATAGATCAAGAGCGGCAGATATATTCGGATCTATCTGCGTCTATAGATTAAGAATCGGAAATATCACCGATGATCTATGGATCATAGATCATGAGCGGCGGACAATGTACAGATCTATCTGTGTCTATAGATCAAGAAACGGAAATATCGCAAATGATCTATGGATTATAGATCAAGAGCGGCAGATATGTTCGAATCAATCTGTGTCTATAGATCAAGAATCAAAACATGTACAGATTGATCTGTAGCTATAGATTTTGGTGATCTGCGACCGAAACGATCTATGGCGATCTATAGCGATCTGATCTGTCCTGTGTGTGAAAGTCTTGATGACATGCCCACGGCCGTTTCTTTGTTCTTGTGTTCAATGGCTTCCTTGCATCAGGTGACCATGCTAGAGATGATGGCCCTGTCCACGTGACGGCCTCAAACATGTCCACTGCCGTTTCTTTGTTCTTGTGCTCGATCGCTTTGTTGCGTCAGGTGACCATGCTAGAGGTTCCCCTCTTTACCCCAGCAGAGTGCCTTGCCGTAGCTGAGGCGACCGCGGAAGCTGTGTCGCGCCCGGGTTTCTCTCCCACGTCCTTCCTCCTGGACCCTTCCACGGAAGTTCCCGTTCAAGACCTCCCCGCGGAGGTGCGTTTTCCGTTACGTGGAACGGGGGTATAGAAATGTTTTGTGGTTAACGGGGGAGTGGTTTACGTCGTTATTATTACGTGGCGAAGGATCCGGGAAGGTGCGAAATTCATAGGATCTGGAACCTAACCGTAGTTGATTTGTGAACTGTGCACAACAGTTTGTTTTTCGCCCATATGCCGGGAAAGAAATTGGTTTTCCGAAATCCCCAGCAATAGTGGCAAACGCACAGTCTCCAGCCGCAGCTGACTGCTGCGGAGAGCTTTACACTCGCTCGTTTTTGTTTGTCTTTATTAAGGTCGACATGAAGCGGATACAACCTTGTTGCTGGGGGCGTGTGTTCGTGAGGGGTAAAGTCCCTCCCGCCCTCAGCCAGCGTGCCCCCCCTTTTTCGTCGTGAAACGAACACCTCTGACGCAGGTTTCCACCATGGTATCGGAGGCGCTTCGGCAGCGGCTGATGCCCTTTGTCGGGTTGGAGTTTAGCAGCCAGGGACAGGTTGTCTTGGACGAAAGGCTGTACGTCGAGCACTACCAGGCCTACCATGAGGTGTGTGCTGGGCTTTGCTGCAGAGGAGGCATGGTGGTAGTGTTGGAGGACCCTGGCGAGCTACTTCCAGGATTGTTGTTTGGGTGCAACGAGCCTCGGCCTTTCACCTTAAACCCTCAACGGGCGGGCGTTGCTGTACTTTGCTAACTTTATCCTTCCACCCAGCGTGGTTTCAAGAGGGGTTCGAGAACGTGAACGAGTGCACGTGATAGCGGAAGAGGTCGGCTCTTGTTTCGCTGATTTCTGCCTTCGAAAACACAATGCACGTCTCCCTGTTTTCTGTTCGCTGACCCTCCCCCCCCCCGCCCCCCAGCCGCCGCCAGTTGCACACGTGAGGCAGGGCCAGCTAGCTCTTCGAGTGGAACTCGACCCCCCGGAGAGTAAATACGTTGGGGGCGGGGGCGTGCGTCTCGAGTCTATGGGAAAAACCATCACTCCGGGCATGGGGAGCGGGCTGGTGTTGCCGGCAAAGCTGAGGTGAGTTGACGAGTG